ATATCTAATATCTAGATAATGCTTTTAGCCAAAACAAGAGATAAGGCGTTTTTTTAGAAAATGCTTCTGACATTTCTGTCTTCTTTCATGTTCAGACAGTGGTAGACAGACTGCTGTCCAAAACTGCAGACAACTCCCTGCTGATCTCCAGGTTCCAGGAATTCCTTGAGATGGAGGACGTACGTTATTACGCCATGAGCTCCATTCGTGACTGTGTGGGGAAAGTCATGGACAGAAACAAAGGGGTAGGAGAACTCTTCTTGCTTGTTTATTGTCATGACATCGAAAATGCTGAGTTAATCTAGATTGTCCTGTTCCTCTCAGGCTGTGATGCCAGTTTTCCAGAACAACGCGTTCACCCTTATGTCCAACATCAGCATTCCGAGCCAGGAGTCTGAGCTCACCAACTTTATGGTCAAACAGGAAGGTAAGGACTGTGTTAAAGTTGCCATAAGTAACAGCAACTGTTTTCACTTTGTGTTAATGTTGGTGTCGTTAATAAAAAGTTGTTATAGTGACACAATTATTGTTATTCATTATTACCTGGTTTCAGCTAAGCACGAGGACTGGAAAGCTGCTAAACTCAATGTAAGTGCATTTTAAAAATCTGACCGTAACGTTTCTGTTTGTGATGCTAATGTCACTGAATAAGATTTTAAACAACTCGTTACAGGAGCACAAGCGTGTGTTTGAGAGGATGTGGCTTGGCTTTCTCAAGTACAAGGTACATATCTAAACCACACAGTTCTTATCATTTTGTTCTGTGTACAAACTGATGACGCTGTTTGTTAATTTCTCATTTCTGTCTTTTAGTTGCCGAGCAGCATGTATAAACAGATTTTGGTGATTCTCCATGACTCCATCTTGCCCCACATGAGTAAACCCACGCTGATGATTGACTTCTTGACTGCTGCCTATGATGTTGGTAAGTTGTGCATGTGGATTAATAATGACTACTACTTTCACACCAGGTCTACAGGATGTAATATTTGATCATGATATAATGACATGTTTTTATTTCTTCATTGAAGGTGGAGCCATCAGCCTCTTGGCTCTCAATGGCCTTTTTATCCTCATACATCAACACAACCTGTGAGTATTTTGCCAAATTAACTACAATAATACATAGAAGAAAATCTGACAGTTAGATTTTAGCATCACATAAATACTAAATGTTGTGTCGTCGTATCTTTTTTCAGGGATTATCCTGATTTCTACAAGAAATTGTATAATCTGCTTGAGCCCTCTATTTTCCATGTGAAGTACAGAGCACGTTTTTTCTACCTAGTCAACCTCTTCCTTAGCTCCAGGTAAGATCACTCACTCACGGATTTTTGTTTTATTTCAGTCTATCTTGTTAAAGCTGTTTGCATCTGTACTCAGTAACTGGATGTGTTCTTGTGATCCAAACTGACTGTTTTAAATATTATCATTATTATTTTTGAGGGCACTTTAAAAATTCAACAAGCACCTGTACAGTATTAACTTATATGAGTGTGTGTACTTGCCCGCAGTCACTTACCAGTGTATCTAGTGGCAGCCTTTGCCAAACGCCTGGCCCGCTTGTCTCTCACTGCACCACCTGCAGCCCTTCTGATTGTGCTGCCCTTCATCTACAACCTGATCCGTCGCCACCCGTCTTGCAGAGTCCTGATTCACAAGCCCAACACAGAGAATGGTGAGTGTCAGCCTCTCACTTTGTGGTTTGGATCTGTCTAAAACAACATATTTAATTGTATTTGTTAAAATCTCACTTTAATATACTGTTCAATCTTTTCTATGAGCCACAAAGCATTTTTGGATATATGTGCATTTCTATTCATAATGACAGAAATGCTGGAGGACCCATATCTAATGGATGAAGAGGACCCTACTCAGTGCTGTGCCTTAGAGAGCAGCTTGTGGGAAATTAAGGTGTGCATGTAATGCTCAAGGATTCACACATTAATCATACATGACACTTACCTCAACTGGCTTGTGATAAGCCACAGTTTTTCTCATGTTAATGGAAAATTTTTAAGTCGTGGTCCAGTTTAATGAAAGTTTTCATTCTTCTTCTCTGCTTCTCCACAGACCTTGCAGAAGCATTACCATCCTGACGTGGCCAAAACTGCCATGTTGATCAACACACCCCTCTCAGGAAAAGAGGATGACATCAGCGAGGTGCTGGAGCTGACAACGTTTGAGGTGATGTAAAACCTGTAGTTGAACTGTTAAACTCATGTCATCTGAGGAGCACGAATAATATCTTGTTTTCTTATCCGCAGCTGATGGAGAGAGACCTGAAGCAGAAACAGACCAAGATTGTCCCACTGGAGTTTGAAACTGCCTCGCAGTTACTACAAGGAGGAGGAGATGTGTTAGGGCAGCACTTCTGTCTGAATTAAGGAGCTTATATTTACAGTGCAGTGTCACAGTTTTACACTAAACTGTAAATCTGGACACACTCCCCCTCAGAAATCATCACGTAAATGCCCTTTTGAGAACAACGACCAGTGAGAAGACCAACTGAAATGTGTCTGATCTGGAGAATTTCTCCATGTCAATCTCCTAAATGTTTGACTGTTGTACACGAATAAAAACCTTTTCCAAAGCTCATTGTCATCATAGATAAATTGCATAGTCCATAATAAGCAGATTGGAACCTATTCAATGCTGTGGCTTTACAGTGTTTCTTAATGGTTTATTGTTTTGTGACACATTCATGACACATTCAGTCTCAATGCTCAGTGGCCTGTTAAGCTAAAAAGAATCTCAGCTGAACTCAAATACTGACACATTCGATGAGATTAAGGGAGAGTTGGATTTGTGTTTATCAGTTTACCGGAAATATGACTTCAAATGAAAGAGTCACTTCAGTGTGTGCAATCTTTTGCCAACATGGTATTCTTATAAGGCAAGATTGTGTAATGGTGGCGTGTTGTGGAATACTATGGAAGTAATAGCATAAACGTTCCAGCACTTTTCCAAACACAGCTGCGAAGTGCTTTTCATGGTCCGAACAGGATTTGAAAAACTCAAGCATGAGGTAAAAAAAATCGGAGAGCAAAATAATACAGTAATAAAACATTTAAATACCATAAAGTATTATAAAAGGTTGTAGTATGTAGGTATGGTTTAAAAGATAGCCACAATATAATTGAATACAGAGATAAAGATTCAACACAGCCACGGATTTAGAGGGTATTTATATAAAATTGTGAAAGCTAATCTGATTTGAAGTAAACATATTGTGTTTGTATGAAATAATAAAAGATAATCTGATTTGAAGTAAATACATAATGTATGTATTTAAAATCATTATAGCTCCTCCCACCAACATATAAATAAGGAAGTCAGTTTGCACATGCGCAGTTCCCAGAGTCGCTAATTGGAAACACCTGAGCAGCTTCCGGTGTGGCGCCACTTTAAGTTTTCTTTCGTCACTAAACAAGGTGACGTGGTTTAATATGACTCACTACGGACGTGAGTTTATGTGAATGGATGTTAGGAGTCATGGAGAATGTCATCACCGTCAAGAGGCCGCTTCTGTCCTCACGTGATCTCAGGTCTGAGTCTCACGCGCTCTTTTCTTTCCCCTCATGTGCAGTTCACATTTCATCCTCTTGTTAAATGACCATATGGCCGCACAGCAGGCGGCCCCGTGAGAGCAGGAGGAAATAAATCTGAATCACCGCTGACTTGTGTTTTGTAAAAGAGCAAAGTCATAGCAGGGAGAAGCTGTCCAGTTCTGTGCAGCCTGGAGAGGAGCAACACACGTGTGAAGCCAGAGAGTGTGCAGCTGCACACAGCCTGTGTTCTGCAGTGAAGCTGTTTGTGACACTCTGAGTTTCAGAGCATTTTCTTTTTTCATATTTTTGTAGGTTTATTTTTAGGATTACAGACGGAGACGTGGCTCCAGACTCTGCCAAAACTGGAAGGTGAGGATGCTGCGGAACAGTGATGAAGAGAGGAACTGACAGACATCACTTCCATGGGTAATAATCTTTTTAATTCTTTCATCTTTCCACTGACTTTTATGTGTTGCACTTTATCAGGTGCGACCATCACATCTTTAGACATACCCCTCCATCCAAAAGAATGAACCCAGAGGAAGACCACGGACAGTATGGTTAACCCTTTGGGAAGCTAGATAGAACTAGAAGTGGAGGAAGATGCGAAATGTCTCTTGAGAGGACCTTTACTTTTTTGGAGGCAAATGGAGAAAAGCCAACAATGGTTTAGCAAAATGATCCAACGTCAGATATTTGTCCAGAAGAGTAGCTCGACATGAATACCCATGGTATGAGGCTACTGTGCCTTGGAGATTATTATACTTTTTGCAGGGACAACTCATATTTGGTGACGGCAATTCAACTATTAAGTCTTGTGTTCACGCTATGGGCTGTCACTCAGATGTTTTGTTGCTTGGAGAGATTTCCTGCGCTTCAGCTCTTCTCCTCACGCTCATTCTGCTTCTCTGTGCGTCTGAAACGTCTTTTTCTCCGATTTTTCCAAACGTGAAATTGGTACGTCCTGCTCTTGAATAAAGATCAGAGGAAAAACCCATATTACTTCTGCTGAACTTCATTTCTCCACCCTGCAAGATGTCCCTCACAACATGCATGAAACAATTTACGCCAAATGGAGTTTGGCGCAGGGATCCAAAACCACTCACATCTGTCATTGGGTTTATCATTTAGTGCAAGGTCCTTTATTTTTTTTTCTAGAGGAACATTAAAATAATGATGCCATTAGTGGACTCCACTTGTTCCTGTGCCATGTAAAATGATATCGCTCTTTAATTAGCTATGACTAATTAGAGCTCAAGTGCAAACAGTGCAACAATGCAGAGACGTTTGCTCAGACTCAAGCTGAGTCGACTACACAGGGGTCAAAGCATTAATCTGCTGATGTGTTCTTCAGAGGCAGATGATAAACCAAACCAAAGCAGCCATATTGTGAACTTAATCTCAGTAATGGATTGATAGATTAATTAATAGGTAAATGGCAAATGAGAGAACCCATTCAGGCCCGGATAATGACGTAGGCACGTCTCTCTCCTCTCAAATCTGTGAGCGAGGCAGAGAGAGGGAGCTCTGGCAGCTCCGCAGGTTCACAGGGGTCTTGGCAGGACGGGACATTTCTGCATAAATCTACAGGACTCCCTGAGTTTTGTTGTTGTGTCTGTCTTCCTCCTCCACAGTCCCCTGCGAGGAAATAGAAGCTGTCCAAGGTGAGTCAGCACTGAGAAGCTGTTTGAGCATTTGGCTGAGGCTCAAAGAGAGGAAGGAGACGAAAGATGGTAAATTTCACATTTTCATTCTGCTACTGACGAGGCAAAAGCAAATGACTCCTATTCCTTTTGTCCATTAATTATTGATATTTTGTTGCTGATAGTCTCCAAATATCAGCTCACTTTAAGCTTGATTATCTACAAATTCATATAATTTTTAAATATGACCTTCTTCTGTTTCATACGAAAACAATTGCGTGAGTATAAAAGAGAGCACACATCACTGGAATCAGCAGCGGTGGAGTCAGATGAGTCAAATCTCCTGAAGTGCAAGCAGCATTAACCTTCTTAACCTTATGTGTGTTACTTGTGAATTGTAGTTACTGTGAATATGGGTATCCCTGTGTGTGTGTGTGTGTTTGCACAAAGCGGGCCAGCATAGATGGGGGGGGGATTTGAGGTCTGATAAAAGCTGATGTTTTTTCCCTGCTTCCCTCCCCGTCATTATTTTGTTGTAACACAGTAATCCTCTCTTATGTAACTGAGTGGAGCTCACTCACTCTCTCTGTGATCACACGCATACACACATGACCACAGACATGAACTCATCTTCCCAGTCTGCACCTGCCAATACATGAAGGTGAAGCGATGCAGGGGGCGACAGTGCTGCATTGGAAAAGTGATTTTACTTTGTTAGATGTGGCAGATTGTGTTATAATAATGAAGCAACAAGCATCTATGAGACTTAATGACAGAAGGTAAGTATTAAAGTGCTGTGAACAACAATATTCCATTTATTCTTTCTCTCAGTTATTGTCACACGTCAGTTGTTTTGTAATTGCGGTTCCATTTTTCTGTTACAATGAATTGGGAAGGTTGGTAATAATGGAATGAGATTGAATGTTATTCACATTTTAATGAAAACAAATCTTTAATTGTAATTTGATCACATGACAACTGAAAGTAGTGACACACAACTTGGTGGAAGGATGCAAAACAGTTCAGGGAAGAATTGACTACATTTTGTTGTGTAATGAAATATGTATTAATTCTACGTTCAGTTTGTTTTGATTTTGTTTTTACGTATGTCCACGGTTAATTAAGTGCACAGTTTGTGTGTGGAGGTGTGAGGAGAGTGTGAAGTTTGCAGTGTGGCCTCAGTGTGTGTAATGTCTGGTTGTGTGGGTTTTGCAGGTGATAATGCGGGATCACACGTCTGGTGCTAATGTGGAGGAGCTGCTGAGACAGTCTCAGATGGAGCTGCAGTGGATCCAGAGACAGCTGGCCATGATCGCTGCCAGAAACATACACCATCATCACCTGCACAGCAAGGCCAAGGTACTGTGGTACCACACACTGCAGGCCTGTGTTACTACTACTGCTACTACAGCTAGGTCTAGTGAGCTTGTACAATGAAGCGTAGCGTTGAATCAGGCTGAACGTAAGCTCTGTATTGGCTGCATCAGTGATTCATAAGCTTAAATACATGGTTGATAATGATTAGATAAACTAAGGCAGGACTTTAATAGTAAATACTACGTCATATTGCATTTTTAACATGCATTATAATCTGTGTCCTCAGTTACATTTAGAATATGAACCACTCATTTATTATCATGTCTACTGTTTATGGGTTTATGTTCCTACAATCCTGAAACTGAAACATAAACAAAGTCTCCTGTTGCTGTAAGGAGGATTCAAACTTATGAATTGTACTCAGAAAAAAGTAACATCTGCTCGGTCTAATCTGATTTTCATTACACATCATTGTGACGTAACATGAGAACTCTTTTTTTGAGATGTGAGCTGTTTTCCAGTTTGTGTCTCCATTATTTTAATTACATCACAGAACTCGAGTCATGCTATGCCCCTGTATTGTGTGCATTTTTGATTAAATAACTCAAACCTGTATGAATCGTAAAAATAAGAGCTTCATAAATTCTAGCATTACTAGAAAGAACAAAAAAGTTTCTATGGCACAGATGAGAATGATCTTATGTTGATTGCTGGAAAAGTCTCTTTTCTGTATTTGTTTTGTGGTTGCGCACACACACAGAAAAAACAGTTGATTTAAGAGTTTTCCAAACCATGTCATGACGATGTAACAAAATGATGTCATGTGCTGTCGAGAATCACAAGTCTTATTGGTGAATGTTGTTTAATCTCATTCCAGCTGTGCACCGGGGTTAAGTTGTGTGTCTAAACACAAATCCATTGTTTTCAATCATCGGTTTCCTTACCTCACCCTAACAAATGTTCACCTGCCTGCTGTTTTTAGCTCTTCCTGTGATGCCAGGTTTTTGGAAGCGTTGATGGAAAAACATTGTTTCCTGATTTAGTTTGGTTGTCCCAAACTAATCATTGAATTCAACTTGGTCAATGATAAATTATGAGCGTAAATAAGTTGTGCATCTATGCATATTTCACTTAAGCTATAAAAGAATTGATGGCCCATATTTAACAATGAAATATGTATTAAATTCATGTTTATTTTTTCATTACACACCAATTTTGTGTGTTGCTTACTAAATGAAATATAAAAATGAAATATCAAAACCAGGTGTCTTCACAATCAACCGACACCATTCCTTCACAAGCCTTTTGCAAATATGACCAGAAGAGGACAGCATCCTTCAATTCCACCACGTTGAGAACGAGAGTAGGCCGTGATGTGGCTCAAAGCTAACGGCTTGTTTAAATAGTTAAATGACTCTTTGCCTTCAGCTATTTGCATATTTAAAGGGGTCACTGCATATTTCTGCCCAATCCAGTTTCCATCTGCTCCTGAACCGCGGTCTCACAGGGCTTCATATCATGCCTGGAAACCAATTCACTGTGAGAGTAATGCATCTACCGTAAGGATGGGAACAGACAGTGAGCGAGCGTTGCTAGGGAACAGAGTGGAACGGAGCGTACGTTCTGCTTTTCTCTCCTCGCTCTCCCCACACTTAGTGTCTCTCTCTTTCTGTCCTCTCCTCCGTCCCAGTGTTTAACAGAGAGCGGCGACTGACGGAACGCACTGAGCGACGGCTGCTGATGTAACCTCACTAAAACTACCGCACTGATTTAATTTGAGTCCCCTGATCTGGGATTTAGAGAAGGTGGAGAGAGCAAAGGGACGCTTGTACGCGAAGCCTGTCCAGGAACACGATGGCGTGGATTTGATTTCATGCCAGAGGAAAGTTAAATTACAAATCGTGATACGAGGGAGAAGCAAACGACTGAAATTTAGTGAGAGATAAAGGAGATTTATATCTACAAGTGTAAGATGGAGAGATGTATTGATCCATGCTTCTGTCAGCAAAACAGAAAATCATTATCTCTGTCGGAGTAAGACACAGGGACGTTGAAACGTGCCCTGCTCTGCTTTGGGAATCTATCCAGAGAGAAATCTTTCATCTTATCTATGATGTAATGATTTGCACATCATCACTCAACAGACTCTCACAGCCCGTTTAAATGAAAGCCATCACGTGTGCTTGTGTTTCTTCCTGGATGTGTGACGTTTCTGGCCAGTTGAGAGGCCGTGCACAAGCCCCATGCGTATGAGCGAGACAGAAATAAGGGAGGGGGTGTATTTAAAGCACGACTGGAGGAATGACAGAGGGCGTTAACACATTCAAGGATGGAACCGGGGGAAGTGTGTGAGAGTCACATGAAGCCTCTGTTGCTGTTTCTGCTCTCACTGTGAGGGTGAGACCTCCAGTCTGCTACAGCTGCGACCAGGCAAGCTGCTAAAGCTGCAGAGTGGAAACGCTGATTGCGACAGCACACACAGGCATGCATACACCGGCGTCCACGTGCACGCACACACACAACGGACGTGTTGCCTCCGCCTTCAATGCCAGCTTGTGATGTGACGTGAAGGGAGGAGAGTCATTTTGGGACAAAGGGGGTGCTGCCTTTTAAGGTATGGACATCCTTATTATTTGTATCAGGGAAACGTTGTCCCACACCCTCTTTTTTTTTTTTTTTATAGATTTATATCGCCGATTTTTTTATGAATCTCAACAGACACCAATGATACATTTGATGCTACTGCAGCTGCTGTGGTTCTCTATATGCTGCATCTTGGGAAACGTGAAATAACATGTATTCACTGTTAGGAGCAGTGGCTGGTGAGTGAAAGTGATTTTATTTCCCTCCTGAGTAGTTAAGTGTAAATTTATAGCGCTGTGTCTGAATCCCCTCCATGTTAAATCAAACCCTTACACTGGACAGGCATCGTTTTATAAGCTAGGAAGGATTGATTTTATTTTGTTAAATCTGTTTAATGGCAGGTCAGTAGATGGACAAACCACGGCTGAGTGCATCAGTATTTCACTCACACACCAGATGGCGTTAAGACAATCTATTTAAATTGCACCTAGTCAGAATAAGATTACCTTTGGGTATCCTGGTTGACTGAGCACATGCCACTTAACCACAACGCCCTTGGTTCAAATCCAGCCACCACATGCTGCTTCCCTAATCCATTCTACTGTGTCCCTCCACCATAAGTCATCCAACAAAGCAGAAACACCATAATACTAGAAATAAAGATAGTATTTAGTGAGCCGATGAATGAATAGACACAACATTCGTCTGTGTCATGCTGAATTAAAATCTGTAGCTATTAATTACTGGAAAAGCAGAAAGGGGCCTTACCGTGCAGTAAAAGCCCCTTTTACGTAATTATATACTGTAAGATCTTAATAACTACCCACATTATGAGCTTTACTTAAACTGTTTCCCTAGCCTCCACTTGTTAGTCATGTTTAAAATGGATTATTCATTCAGCATTTTCAGATCATTCAGATATTAACTTCCCTGTATGTTTGTTTTAATTTTTTTTATCTCTGCTGGGAAATATATTTCTGCATCCGATGTCTTTAAGGAATAAATACTTTTGCATAGTAATTTATATTTGTGGGAAGTATAATTCAATAATAGTCTTAGATATGTTCAAATATTACTTACAAGTTCTTAAATATGTTTAGGTTTGTTATATCATGCTCCTTCCATCAAATAGCAATAGCTTTGCTTAGTAAGCTATCGTTTCCATTATTGTGAACTAATCTGTCGGACATGCATGGATGTTCTTTCAAACATTTTTCACATGGTTTTATTTTCAGTGGCTTGGAAGTCTGTCTCCATTAGAGGCCGGCAAATCCCTTCATTGTTTCTTAAATGCTGTTACTTACCTCCAGTAAAAACCTCATTTGAGCTCAAATAGTTTTCTACGAGTGAGTTTTTTATTAAAGTTTGATAACACCTGTCATTTATTATGACTGGAAATGGGGAGCAAGCAAACTTTAATAAACTGCTCGGCATCTCTGACTCAGAGCAACTTATACGATTTTGTAAAAGATGTTTGCAAGGAAATGATTACTTTTTGTTTGTGTATGCTTGTCCCACTGTGAATATGAAAAGAAAAACCTAATATTAAACCGAGTCTCAAGGTGTCTGCCACAGCGCTTTTCTCTCTCTCTTTGAGATTACTCTGTGTGTAATTACTTTTTATTTCATTTGCTCTTTTGTTCCTAAGTCATTTGTAGTTTTGGTATCATATGATCATCCACAGTTGTGTAGATCTGCAACAGAATATTCTGGATCCCATCAAGCCTCTGGAAAATAAACATACTGCCCAGTATAATAAAGAAAATAATAAATAAAAGTCAGGATGCATTTGCAAGATTTGTAGTTTTCATTATGAAAATACTTGTAGTGCACCCTCTACCTGTCCACACTGAATAAAAAGGCTTTTGTGTTTGAAAAGTGCTGAATGGCCTGGAATATTACTCTGCAACTTTTCCTCTGTCCCTTTTAATCCCTCATCTTCTGGCTCACATTCAGCAGGAGATGATGTCAGAACTTCCTGTGTCGCATGAGTGCGTCACGATTCCCATCTTTGACGCAGCTCCTGTCAGAGCAGCTTTGGCAGCTCTCTCCGTACAAGGATGACGTTTCCGGCGTGGACGGAACAATTAGGGCCTGCTGCGATTCAGGAGCAGTTGCAGTCGCAGCCTCCAGATTTGGGCCATTACTCATCCTGACTGACTGATTTGGGCACTGAACTCTACCATGTCTAACTAAAGCCCTTTTCACAGCCTGTTTTAAGGCAGTATAATGTTGCACTTTTATTCCACCCCGCCGTTCTTTACAAACAGCAGAGGTAGAGCTGGAGTAATATCTGTGTTAAAGGGACAGCCGATACATCCTGCCTTTATATCTGTACATGTTTAAAGTCACTCACAGGATCAGCATTATGCTGGCTTGTTTGGTTCAGAATAAACCATAAATAAAAAATAAAAAAGATCAACGACATTACTGTTTCCCAAAAGTGGCTCGCTGCAGAAGAGGTCATAGATCTTGCCTCTTTCACAGATGGGACATGAACCAAAGTAAATGTCTAATAGATATATATCTTTCTTCTGAAAGTGGTTTCGGTCACATGTTTTTTTTTCCCCAGTAATTTTGGTTTTAATTGGTTATTTGATGATATAAAAAACAGGGTGAAACATCATGATTGACAGCTCATCAACTATCATGGCTCCATCTCTCGATCTCTGCTGCGCAGACTTCGACTCCAACTGAACAAGATGGCAGCGATTGTATCTGGGATATTTTGGCTTCATGTGTGAATGGTGGCAGGAAGAGGAGACGCGTCATCCATCTTATGTTGTAAACGAGCAAAGGCAAACAACAATTTTGATTTTTGTATAAAATCTGCATAAAATGTCTTCATTTGTTTTATTGTATGTATTTTTCTGGTCGTCTTTACTTATAAATCGATTCTCACAAGTTTATCCATATGCCCTGATATCTCCCTCTGTAACTAAATGTGTGTGAAAGACCAACAGTAGGGGTTGGCATGTCTGTCTATCTGTTTTTGGACAGTCCAGCATGTTACACTGGTGGGTCTGTCTGAGGGCTTGTCTGCTTGGCAGCTCTGCTGTATTAGCAGGTGGAGCTGGCTGTCTTTCTGTCTGCTTGGCAGGTTCATCATACTGGCTTTGCTAGTTTTGTCTGTCAGGGTAAACTGATATCTTGCCTGCAAATTAGTTTTTTAGAATTAGTTTTGTGGAGGATGGCAGTCTGGCTCGCATTCACAGGATCTGGTTGTTTGAAGTGCGAGTTCTTTTGTGGACCTGACAAGATACCAAATGTTCTGTTAACATGCTAATTGATATATTAGAATAATAAACTGATGTTGGAGCCATCTGTTGGACTGTCAGGTTACTGTTGAACTTTTACTGCAAGTAAAAGTGCTCAAAGGGAACAATGGACTGACTCTTTTACCCTCGCCTTAATTTTCCTTTAAATGGAAAAAGGTAATTCAGAGAAATAAGGGAGTGAGAGCAGGGGATTTCAGATTGTAGCTCTGCAAATGGTTCCCATTTCATACATTTATATCACTCAAAGCAGACGAGAGTGGAGCATCAAATTCAATTTTTAGATTAACTTGGGGAGGAGTTTTTTTTTTTTCTCTTGACACAAAGCGGAAAAGTGCATCCTTTTATCCTAGAGGGGGACGTTTTAATTTCTAGTTGCCCAGGCAGAGTTGCTTCCTCCTTACCCGTCCCTCTGTTATCTGCAACACAACAAGAGCAGTCATATTTCAAAACAACTGTGAAAAGTGGCATGAAGGAAAGACTAACTTGAGCAATAAAAGATAATCTTCTCCCTAACCCCTCACGAGAAGCTTCCAGCCTGCCTCTTGCAGATATGCAGTTTATTTCCATGGAGAATTCAAGCGAGTGAAAATGCAGTTTCAAAGACGACTCCACTCCATCAAGGAAACTTCGAAGGGGAAAAACACTGACTGGCAATTTCCTCTGAGCTTCAAAACCTGTTGCAGTAGCAGCTTCATTTTAAAGTCTGGTAATCTTTTTCTTGGGTCTGACCCTGCAGGATGGAACTAATACCTGAGTACATCAATGTAAGACAGATTGACAGGAGCCCTATGTCCTTTTTTAGGACTCCTGCCGAGGAGGTAATGTTTTCTACTGCTTGTTAGTAAACAGGATTACGCAAGAACTCCTGGACGGATTTCCATGAAATTTAATAAAGGGGCCCAACGAACATCCCACTGAATTTTGGAGCATATATGAATAAGTGTGCGGATCCAGAACTTTTTTCTTCACCGACTTTGAAACATTTTCGACAGCTAGTTCAGGCTGTGGCGATTCCAGGGGTGCTATGAGGTCTGACACAAACCAACTACACAAACAACACCACGAGTTTAAATGCCGTGTTGTTATAAGAAGTTTCAAAATGTGATTGGTTCATTATGAAACTGTGGGAAACAGGAATATGACGGGCCACCACAGTCTTGATGATCATGGGAAGTCACTGCTTTGACGTGGTGTGATAGGGCATTAGCCTTGGCACACTCTTAGAGCATCTTCTACTTACTTATACATGAATCGAGTGCTTGCTTCCTTCATATACATGTTGTTTTTACACTGGTTGTTGTCGGTTGGTTTATTGGATCAATATTCAAGATCCCCAGAGGAAACATTCTAATGGGTTTGGTGATCCTCGACTTTTTCTATTCGCAAATATTTTTTGGATTGAAATAATGGCTAATATGCTAAACAAAGATGGTGAGCTGGGGAAAGTTATACCTGTTTAGCATTAGTATGTAAGTACTGTCATTGTGAGCATGATATTGTGCTTACATTAGCATTTCAGACACAGTGTAAGTCCAACCTCATGGCTGTAGACTGTTAGTTTTGTTAGACTTTACTTTGAAGCCTGTGCTATGACAGCTATCACCAATGAAAATGTAATGTACATTATAATGTTTCAAATTCTATTTGATTTTGTCTTCCAGCTAAGGTATGAGGTTTCATCCCAGCAAGCTGCAGGCCAATCGGTCCAAAGTGTGAACCGTTTCCGACTGCTGGAGGAAAGAAATCGAGCTCTGAAGCTTGAAGTCACCACGCTTCGCCAAGAAAAACTGCAATACAGGAAACTGGTAAGCTTCCTACTTCAACACAGACACTCACAGCTATTTCTGAGCCACTCTTCAAACACTCACCATCTGATACGACTGTTTTATTGCCTGCAAACACCAGATGAAAATGATGCGAGCACAATATACATATTTACTGATAACTCCCCTCTGTATTGGGAACTATTAAGATTTTCTTAGAATGTCGGTATCACTACACTCCCTGTTGCAGCTTATGTTCTTCAAGGAGTCAACTGTTAACTCACTCGGCCATATGTGCACGCGCTTGTTGTTGGTCTTGCAGACACGTGGTCGTGTGTAATGTGGTGTGAAATGGATAAGTAGGGGCGTGTCGTTTGGTCTGTATCTCTCGCATGGGCGTGTGTGTTTGCGTTGCCACATATATTTGTTTGGCCTGTATGTTCATGCGTGCGTCTGTGTGTGTGTGTATAGTGATTTTCTATGGAGGCCTCCCCCAGGTAGTCTCGGATGGCAAGGCGTGCGAGCCGTTGTCTTGGCAACACGCCCATTTGTGGACAGACTGGCAGACCGACGTAATATAGTGGCTGCTTCAGTTACAAGCCTCAATGACCAGAAACTATTTTCAGTTTCATAGAGGTAAAGCTACTATTTGCTTTTATAAACCTTATATTGACAGTGTCTCAATGTGTGATGTGGTGTATGCAAAAGTGGAATTAATGGCAGATATGATGGCAGAATGTAAGATATAAGGTTTAGTGATGCTGGTATGATGCACACACCAAATGTTTTCACCCCTGTCAGTTTGTTGGTTGGTTTGTATGTTTAATTACACACAAACAACTGAGTATGTTTCCGTGAAACTTGGTGTAAGGATGTGGCTGGATCAGGGAAGAATCCATAAACTGTTTGTTCAGATCCGGGAGTTTCACTTTCTTTAACATTGCAAAAAGAGGGCGTTTTCAACATTTCTATAGGTGAACCATTCGGTGTAACTTGGTTGAAATTCCTTGGTTTCTGACTTCTATGTATTCTACACTGTGAGATCAAGTATATCACAATTTGAAATAAGGGTACAAAACATGTTACATCAACACACTGACTCATGATTTAATGCCGGATGTATCACGGCTGGCTGTTGCTCACTGTTATGTCACTGTGACTTAGTGATTAGTCAGTTAACACATGCTTATTCACAGTCACCTCAAATATTCACAGATATGCTGCTAAATTTAACATGGAAATGCGACATTGCACATCCATGCATCTGAAAGCTGAACAGTACCTTTCCTGATTCTCAAGATTTGTTTCTATGAATTGAATCGTGATGAGTCATACATTAGTTGATCATTACTAATGCATGTTTTGTGCCCTATTTATAGTGTTAACTGTTATCTAACCATAGGGTTGGTATATGATCACAGCATCCTATAAATATTTAAATGCTATATGTTGGAGCATGACGTGGCCAGAAATGGTGGTCGTGAATTATTCTGATTAAGTATTTTCACCTCACACCTGTTTTATATTAAGAAAAAGAGTGCTCTAGACCAGGCTTTAAAATCTACCACCTCAAACTCTTGCATTTAATCCTTTTCAAGTCACTGAGGATGATATTCATGGGGCATTTCAGCCTCTTTCTCTTGTCATGTTCTTCCATTTCATTTACTTTGCTACAAAAATGGCAAGAAAACGCACTGAGGAGGTGGACTACCTAGGAAATAGAAAGCGTTGCCTGGAAACAATCTCTGATGGACAGTCGAAGAAAGGTACCGTAGGTAAAGAATGACCTTCTGTGTGCTGTGTGACTGCTGCTAAAAGGCTGCAGCTGTCTCCTTGGACACCGATCCCTATGGCAACAATTGTGTGCCGCTAGCAGCTGGCCCACTCAGATGAGAGTCCTCGTGATGATATGGGCTGTCCCAGCGCAAAGAGGAACAACGTCTAATCAATAATCCCTAATAGCCGTGTTGTCTCAGCTGACCCAGTAATCTCTGTTTTAACTCCCCCCCCCCCCGATCAAAGGAGCCCAGACCAGCCAGGGTTTATAATAGTCCAGTGTAGTGTGACACAATTCAGCTGGAATAATGTCGCCACCACCCACAGGCTAGTCTGAGCATTCACATTGTTTTGACTCGTGTGGCTGTTTTAACAACTGATATTAGTCGGGGTGTGTTTAGGCTGAGCTTTCTATTCTTTCCTTAATTGAGTTTATCTCAGTGTTCCTTCAGATGGCACTACAATTCCCCAGTGCTTTTGTTAAGGTAAAACTACATAGAGCTCACTTAAAGGATTAAAACAGTTAAAAGTCTAAAATGGAAACAACATATTAAGGGTTTTTACTTTATTGGGGTGGCAATTATCTTATATAACGTGAAATGAATGTGAGATGCTTTGCTGGCTTAACAAGCATCACATAGCTGGTATGCTGTCCCATTCAGGTGTTATTCCCAATGGACTGAATTTTATTGCCTCTGGGGTTATATTTTTTTTATCTGCGTTTGTTAGTTAGCAGGATTATGCAAAGGCTATATGATGGATTACCATGGTGGAAGGATGTGTTGTGGGTTACTTCCTTCCTCCAATCACACACTGATTTCCCAGGGACTAAGGTATTAATGACACTGATATGAGTGTGTAACTTTAGACATTCTACTTAATCAGGTTTGAGAAAACACCAAAATCGGATCTGGCGTCCAAGACTGTTGTACACATTTTACTGTTGTTTGCCTATTTCACCTTTTTCCGCAAAGAGAAACCTAAAAACCACGAGGACGAACCCATAGTCTGTGTGATCTTTTAGATAACGGTACGGGGCCAGCATTAAGAACATGCTGGTAGATTAGTGTGCCTTGAGGTAGTGCTCACTCATAGTGGTCCATCAAGTCTTCCATTTCTTAACCTCTTTCATGCTTTTTGTTTTTTTCTTATACTCCATAGCTTTTACTTCTCTCACTCCTCCTCTGTTCCATCACTCATAAATTTAAGTCTCCCCCTCTATCCACCATGCGTGTGCTTGTCTTCCCCTCTGTCTCCATCAGTCTCCTCTCCCTCCCCTTGTACTTCCTGTCCTAACCTCCTTACTTTCCCACATCCAGGCAGATATGTGGACTCCGGCCTGTGCAGCTTCATGTCTGCAGTAATTGACGTAGATTTGATGTACATTAGGGAGGGTCATGCCAACCCATAATTCAATTTCAGACATTTTTAGAGAGAGTTCAGTCCAGATGAATTTTGAAATGAGTTAGCCCTTCTTCCCTAGGAGTAAGTGCATCATGTATAAATGATAACACCAGTGTCATTCAAGTTTTCCATATGACTATGCTATAGTCTGATCACAGACCGTGACAACGCTGTGCTTCATGCAAAGTTGGTTCACTTCTACAGTTATTGTACACTTAACCCTTCTATTCTAACTAAATCAAACAAATTTATTTATTTTGATTTAAAGTGGAGATTACAGCTTTTCATGCTGCATTTGAGTGGCACATTTCATCATCCACATAACCACAATTATCACTGTGCCTCACAATGCTGCCTCCTAGGGAACCACATGCTTTCAGTCTTTTTTGAATAAATATTGGCAGAATTGGGTTAATATGAGTGATACAGAGATGGTGATTGCATAAATAATAAACACTCCCATTTCAGAACAGAAAATATATGAAAATCCTTTGGAATTACCTGGTTTTGTACATTAATTGTCCTTAATATGTGATCTGATTTTCATTCAAGTCCGAACAGACTTATAGAAAATTGCACAGATAAACAAATTCTAATTAAAATGTGCTAAAAATATTCCACTCTCAAAATGTAGGGCCCTTGTGGATTACTTGAAAATCCCCTTAACCAGCTTAAATAATTGTTGGGGCTATCTGTGGTATACCCACTTACACACTCACAAATACACATGCAGGGGCATGCATGACACCCACACATAAGCTGATGTCAATATGATATAATTACTCATTGTGACAAGCCAGTGTAGGCAGTGTTATAGCAAGTGTGTGCTATGTTGTAGTTAAAGGCTAAAAGCTGTGAAACTGTTAGGATTAGAGCTGGAACAGAAAGGAAATTAGTAATTGGTCGCATGGGGATAACCTTGATCCTGGTTTTATGCATGTAGAATTTAACCCAGAAACGTTTTTAGACTGTGTCTGTAAACTTTGCAAAAAATCTATATACAGTATATCAGCAGGGTTCTGTATAAGCCTACAAATATGGGTGAAATTACAGAAGTGAAGCTGGTACCTCTAAAGTGGGTGTAGTGTGTGGTATTCAATCCACTGTACAGACTCATTCAAATTTTCTTTTGACAAATGAAATGCATAGCAAGGAAAAGGGGGAGGGTTTATGTGACAGCAGGCAGCATCATGCAGGCTCCTGTCATTTCACTCAATTTGGCAGACATGCTGGAAGGTCCAGACCGTGGTTGCACAGGGCGGCCTTCCAATAAACCATCCTTATTTGTAACCCACGCTCCAAGATGTCGGTTTCTTATTGGCTGTGATACCTTTTCGCCTAACAGTAGCCCACTGATGTGGCTGATGGTTGTAAGAGTGGAGCTGGCTGATTAATTCAACAGAGTGGATTTCCGCAGCTCACTGAACACGCGTACAGCGCAAGAGAGAAAGGAGGAAATTGAGCAGAGGAAGAGAGAGAGAGAGTGAGAGAGAGAGAGAGAGGAAGAGAAAAGGAGAAAATGATGCAGGAAGGGTGTTAAGGAGGAGGGTCTTTGGGGGTGGGGAGAGAGTGAGAGGAATGGGAGAGTAGGAAAGGGAGAGTGTGTGGAGAGGGGGCGGAGGAAAGAGAGAGAGAGAGGGAGGGAGAGAGAGAGAGAGAGAGAGAGAGAGAGAGAGAGACAGACGCAGGCCCCGGAGCTGCTACTGATGCTGCTGCAGCCGTTTGACAATTCCCCACCCAGAGAGAGCAAGGGAGAAGGGAGGAGATCAGAGCAAGGAGGAAGAAGGAGTAAGCAGCACCTCCGTCAAGATGCTCCTGTGTTAGCCAGCACACACGGTAAATACCAATCCTTTATCACCACT